AAAATTGCATAAACAGAAACACTAATTTGACTTTGAAAACTTTTACAATTGATAGCTGCTTTGAAGCCAAGAGTTTAAGATACACTCTTATCCAAATATGGGAATATATATACTTTGAAGTTTATACCTCTTAATACCATCCACCTATTTTGCCCATTCCTCCATCCCCTCCCTTCTGGCAACCACCAATCTGTTCTCTTTATTTATGAGTCTGTTTCTAGTTTTTGTGCTTTTGCTTCTTTGTTCATTGGTTTTGTTTTTTAGATGTACATATAAATGAAATCATATATTTTTTGCCTTTTTCTGTCTAACTTATTTCACCCAGAATAATACCTTCTAGGTCCATCCATCTTGTCACAAATGACAAGATTTCATTCTCTTTTATAGCCCAGTAATATTCCATAGTGTATATATACCACATCTTCTTTATCCATTTATCTATTGATGGACACCTCAGTTGCTTCCATATCTTGGCTCTTGTGAACAGTGCTGCAATAAACATATGGGTACATACATCTTTTTGAATTAGTGTTTTCATTTCCCTCAGGTAAAAACCCAGAAGTGGAATTATTAGAATGTACAGAACTTCCATTTTTAGCTTTTTGAGGAACTTCTGTACTGTTTTCCGCAGTGGCTGCGTCAACTTACATTCCTACCAACAGTGTACAAGGGTTCTCTTTTCTCCACATCCTCGCCAACATTTGTTATTTTTTGTCTTTTTGACACTAGTCAATCTGACAAGTGAAAGGTGCTATCTCATTGTGGTTTTGCTTCACAATTCCCCGATAACTAGTGATGTTGAGCATTTTTTCATGGTCTGTTGGCCATTTATTTTTTATTATCTATCAAAGTCAATATTTCCTGCTTCAAAGAAGCTGTACCTCTTTTGTCTAAATTATTATACCTGCATTATCAATGTTAAAGTAAATTTAATGTTGACCATACATCAACTTTGGGCCACCTGCCATCACCTGGGATAGATGCCTTTCACCCTGCTTATTAGTCTGCTGACAACTGGCTCACTTCTCTGAAAAAGCTCCTTTGGTTTGGGGGAATGTATTAGTTCCCTATGGCTGCTGTAACAAAATACACAGATTTAGTGGGTTAACATAACATATACTTATCCACTTACAGTTCTGGAGGTGGGAAGTCCAAAGTCAGTTTCACTAGGCTAAGGTCAAGGTGTCAGCGGGACTGGTTCCTGCAGAGGCTCTGAGAGAATCCATTTCCCTGCTTTTTCCAGTTCTAGAGCTTTGTTCCTTCCATTTCTTGGCTTCTGGCTCCTCCCTCCATCTTCAAAGCCAGGATCTTAGCATCTTCTATTTTCTCTCTGGTTTGATCACATCATCTCCTCTGTAGTCAACTCTTTCTTAGCCTCCTTCTCGTGAGTACTCTTGTGATCACAATGGACCCATCTGAATAATACAGGATAATCTCCCCCATCTCAACATCTTTCATTTAGTTAGAGTTACAAGTGATTTTTTGCCATATAAGGTAACATTCACAGGTTATGGGGAATGGCACATGAACATTTTTAGGAGGCCTTTATTCATAGTGCCACTGCGGTATATCTGGGGGTGGGATGTGGTTAGGGTGAAGAAGGTGGGAAAGCTCTCAGGTGACACTTTCAGATAGTAATAGAAATGCTGAATGCTCACTGTGTGCCCAGCTAGGAACCATTCCTCTATGAGCATCAGCTGATTTAATCTGTACTAGCCAGGGAGTGGAGCTGGTACTCAGATGGTATTCACTGGTGGTCTTGCCTCAACAGTGGCAGAAGCCAGAAAGTGGCAGAGCCAAGTGCAAATCCTGGTACTCTGGCTCCAACATCCACAAGTCTAAACCCTCTGCTCTACTGTGGTTCTTTCTCCTCATTATTTGAGAAGTAAACTGCTGCAGAGATAGCGACAGGCAGTGGGTCTTCATCCCAGGGCATCAAGAATCCCGAGCCTTTAGAGTTAGGGCTTTATTGTTGATATTCGTACTCATTTCACTTCACAGTTGAGGAATCTAAGGCTTGAAATTAAGAAATTAATTTAAATTGAAGTGAAATTGAGATTTTGATTTACTGAAAGCTACAGAGCTGCGGTACGGAAGCCATTGGGGGCATCCTGTGTTTTTCTTACCTGCTCTAGGCTAAGAACATTCACTTAGCTCTCCCACTTCTCAAAGGCACACCTCGTGGTATAGGCAGGCTTGTGTTCCCCTCCAAATTCATACGTTGAAGTCCTAACCTCCTGTACTTCAGAATGTTATCATATTTGTAGATAGGTAGGACCTTGAAAAAGATGATAAAGGTGAAATGAGGCCCTAATCCAATAGGACTGCTGTGCTCATAAAGAAGAGAGACCCAGAGATGTGCCAGCCGAAGAAAGGTCACTTGAGAACATAGGGAAAAGATGGCCTTCTGTAAGCCAAGAAGACAGGCCTCAGGAGAAACCAAACACCTTGATCTTGGACTTCTATCCTTTAGATCTATGAGGAAATAAATTTCTCTTGTTTAGGTCATCCAGCTTGTGGTATTCTGTTATGGCAACCCCAGCAAACTAATACATCCCAGGTAGACCACAGGCCTTACAAACCCTTTGGACTAGAGGCAACTAGCCCACAGTTCAGATAGCTGAAGTTTCCCAAAGGAAGAAATGGGAGTTCCTAAATAATTTTCAAAATTTATAAAAGCTTAAGGGAAATGTACAAAATGCACTCTAACTAAAATTCCAAGTTTCATTGCTTTTGCGCAGAATTGCATCGAATCAACATGGTAACATGCACTGTCTCATATTCATCTGAAGCTTTAATTAGCAACAGGTGTCTGATTAATTTAAAGTTAATCATTTCACAAAGCTGACTTGTTTGGGAAATAAAAAGCTCAGACTTTTTGATGAAGAGAAGGATGAGCAGCAATCACTGCTTTGAGCCCCAATTCCTTTATTTGAATCCTCTAAGACCCATGCTGTTTAATCCTCTTCAAATTGTTACAGCTTTTTCAGGGGTGAATTGAGCAAATTATATGGCTTTAGTCATTTGTCACATATGGGGTGTTTAGAGTCACTGTTTTCAAACTTGGGAGTATCACTGACATTTGCTAGGTGCTATATACCTGGTTGTATTCCTGAAAGCCAATGAAATTTTAAGTGAAAATGATCCCAAGTGTATTAGGGTTCTCCAGAAAACCTGAACCAATAGGATAGAGATAGATAGATGATAGATAGATAGATAGATGATAGATGATAGATGATAGAGATAGATGATAGATAGATAGATAGATAGATAGATGATAGATAGATAGATAATAGATAGATATAGAGAGATTTATTATGAAGCATTAACTCACATAACTGTGGAGGCCAAGAAATCCCATGATCTGCCATCTGCAAACTAGAGAGGCCCAGGAGAGGTAGCGGTGTAGCTCCACTCCCAGCCCGAAGGCCTAAGAACCAGGGAAGCCAATGGAATAAACCTCAGTCCAAATCCAAAGGCCCAAGAAGCAGGAGTACCAATGTCTGAGGGCAGGAAGACAGATGTCTCAGCTCAAGCACAAAGAACAGATTGGCCCTTCTTCTGTCTTTTTGTTCTATTCAATCCCTCAACAGATTAGATGATGTCCATCTGCACTGGTGATCAGTTGATAGATTAAAATGTGAATCTCTTCTGTAAATACGCTTACAAACACACCTAGAAATCTGGGCATCCCTTAGTCCAGTCAAGTTGACACATAAAATTAATCACACAAGGAGAACAAATATGAAAATAGCCTAATTAAATAGGTGGCTAGACCTAGCTCTTTAACAGAAGCAAAATAAGAAAGCCACAGAACCCAATACATATACTAGAGTATCAGGCGCCTTCAGTAGAATATATCTTGGAAGTTTGAAAAACAATACTTTAAACAGAATTGCATATTTTATTTAAAAAATGATAGCAAATGTAGGCAGAACACAAATTTCTATTAAGAACAGAAGTTTATTAAATGTTTTATAGTAAAATATTGAGTCCACTCTATTAAAATACACAAGCTTGGTGTTCTAACAAGTAACATTGACTCAATTCAGGGAAGCTCATGATGCCAACACAGGGGGAATTGTGGGGAGCTACGAACAGAAATATATCTTCCTTCTCCTTTTCCACAATAGCTGCAATAATACAGATGCTCAGAAACATTTAGGCATTGGGAATAACCTGTAAAATTTCCTGAGTATTCCATTAAACATCTCTTACAATTAAATATTACCTTAATGGAAAACATGAACATTTTCTGATGGAAACATTCATTTTCACATTTGTTATCTTCAATAATTGAGAGCCACAATCCCAAAAATGTATTACACCATAAGAAAGTCTTTGGGGTCTTCATAAGGCTTTCCAGCACAAGGTAAATTTCAAGGCAATTTGTCAAGGACTAAATTTCCTTGAGTCACCAAGCTAGTGATAAACAAAGATAAAAAGAAATGTCAAGGTTAGCTGATTATTTTCCAAAGAACAGGATCTAAAAAATCTTGAAGGGAAAGAAGGATGTGGGAATGAATGGATGCTGGATGATAAAAGAGATGGCTAGGAAAGATACTGAGATTAGTTAGCATTAACTAACCCATAGTGTAATTTTGTGACTAATCAACATCTTCTTCATGTATATAATTATTTCAAGGTAGCATTCCTACAAACTAAATTGGTTCATTCCTTTTTCAAGTTAGTTGCAAAGAAATTTTGATTCTGAATATCTAAAGTTATGGCTAATAGCATTTTGATATTTACCCCTAAGAATAACTAGCATTCTTAGCCATGGCTCTTGAATACATGGTTTCTTGATAAAATATCACTAAAATAGAATTAATAATAAAAAAAGATATACCTACCCAGAGCTCAGGGTACTAGTCACAACCAACCTAAATAATTCCTATCAATTAGTTCACATAGAACTAAACCAATTTCACCAATTCACATTATTTAGCACACCCAGAAACTAGATCTTTCTCCTTTTAAATAATTTAACCAATTTTGTAAAAAAAAAAAAAGCAGTTGTTTAGAAAATCACACCTTAGATTTGTACTCATGCTCATTTATAAGTTTATATTGAGTCTTGGGCCTAAATTTGGTACTTCGAGTCCGCACTTTGGTACCCTACCTTTTCCTAACTGGACACTTGATTCTTGCAGATGACCATCAATGAAAGAACTTGAAAGTAAAGAAAGGGAATTTTAGTAGAGATGGAAGTGTTCTGTGTTCATATTGATAGAAAAGATACTGCTTTCAAAGGAAGGGAGAATATAAAATCATGTGTGATCATAGAAAGTCTTGCATACAAAGTAACCCAAACATACAGCCGTCTCCACCACAGAATTAAGCAACCAGGTCTAACCCACTACAGACTATTTGATTAAAAAGGCTTATAACCCATACTTTAACATGGAAACACTGGTGAAAATAGTTTTAAAATATGTAGCCTTGTAAAATGATACATTTTTGAACATTAAAACCTCGTTTCAGAAGTTCCCCGCTTTAGGTTGTTACTCAGAAACTCATCATGTTCAAAACTCAAATTGTTATGAGATCTTGAAATCATGAGAAGCTTCTCCTTATTGGTAAAGTCTTTTTTGATCGCAGCTTGGGGCACAAGCAGCCTCTCCATGGGGTCCTCTTTATTCTCTAGTTTCATGTATCCTTTGCTGTTGCTTCGATCCAACCGAGGCCAACTTGGGTGTTTCCGTTGTTCTGCCTGAACAGTTAGGGTGGAGGGACCCCTGTCCAAGTCTAAGGATTTTGAATGTGACGAGAGCAAATGTAAAGATGTGTTGGACCCAAACTGTCTTCTAGCAGCCCCAGGAGACAAGAGCTGTCCAGCCCCGGGTCCGAGGGCCACGGAAGATTTGTACTGGCTCGACAATGACTCCCCAATGGAATTATTCCTTGGGAACACCATGCTGACTGGCTGGAAGGACTCACCGGCATTGGGCAAAGGGACCATGAGGGAATCCATTGACAAATTCCTTGACCTACTTTTGAGGTTCTCAGCATCTTCAGTGATGTTATCTATACTGGGCTCATCAATAACACAGTTATTAAGTTTGATCACAGGCAATGTAAAAGCACTGATGGATGATGACACAATTGATTTGGTTTCACATTTCTTAGGGCCACTGGTCTTATCATCTGTTGTCTTGGAGGGAGGTGGGTAGAGGCCAAAGACAGAGACGGAGCTGTCCGAAAGCAAAGGTGGCATGAGATGCCCCAAACTCTTATTTTCGTTTAGCGCAAGTTCATCCTCCTCGACAGAGCTGTCCATCCAAAAACTGCTCCTAAAACCCGAGAAAGAGGCAATGGTATTTGCTGCCAGTCTCGAGGCACAGGAGCTCCCATTCTGCTTTACTTCTGTGTCTCCCATCAAACCAGTGTAGATGCCATTCATATGCTTTTGCTCCTTGATCCTCAGCGTGTGGATGTCGATGACTGTGGAATAGATATCCCTCATGTGTATGATCTTGGTTTCTTTGTCACGGTTCTCATGAAGAATGGCATTAGCACAAATGAAAATGAAAATGCCAATCCCCATGGTGAAAGGGCCGAGCATTTTCATTTTATCAGAATGCAGATGTTGCTCAAAGAAACGGACCACCACGCCACCTTGGTTCCGAATGACCTGAGTCTCGTTGGTTGACAGTGTTGTCTCAGCATCAATAAAATGTTCTTTTTGGGGCCAATATCCAAGGACTGCCATTGCAATTCCTACAATGGAGATAAGCACTCCTAAAATGAGGAAAAAACCAGATGGGGAATAAAGCCGGATTTTGCCTCGAACCACCACGACATCGGCCTGAGGCCGCCGCCTGACGGGTTTCTTCACTTGGGCAGTAGGCGATGGGCTGAGGCTGACATGATGCTGCGACCTGGCAGAGTCTTGCCTTTTCAAGGCGGCCAGGCCAGTTATCACTCCACCGGTTGCTATCATAGCTCAGCCTTTTGCTCTGAAAAGAAGGAAAAGAGATGATAATCTAATATGTTCCGGGACATGCTCACCAGTTCAACAAGTATTTATATGTTTTTGCTGTTGTTGTTTCATATAATGAAAAGGGGCAGAGGAATATCTTTTTAATTGACATAGCTTAAGTAGAAGTTTTATTTATTGAATAATGTAAAATCCTGGAGATTTCCTTTATTGGCTGATCTGGTATCTCTAGTATTAATGAAACGTGAGCTCAAGGTATATTTTACTTAAATAATTTTTCACTTATATAAAACAGTCCCTGGGGGCGCCTGGGTGGCTCAGTCCGTTAAGTGGCTGCTTTCGGCTCAGGTCATGATCCTGGGGTCTTGGGATCGAGCCCCACATCTGGCTCCCTGCTCAGCGGAGAGCCTATTTCTCCCTCTCCATCTGCCTGTCACTCTGCCTACTTGTGCTCTTTCTCTGTCTCTCTCTCTGTCAAATAAATAAATAAAATCTTAAAAAAAAAAAAAAGTCCTTGGTCACAAGGCTCTCTCTCTTTCTCACACACACACACACACACACACACACACACGTGCGTGTAGGTGCACACAAGCACACCATCTTAAATTATCTGTGTTGTTTTAAAGAAATGGGATAATAGGCCCAAACCATCAAACCCTAGACTTACGAAGAAAATACATTCCAGCAACTCACAGTTTAAAACCCATTCTTGTGAAAGTCACCAGTGAACTCTTAACTCCCACATTTCATTTCTCCCGCTCCATTCTCAACCTCCCTATTTCTCTGTGTCCATGAACACTGCTGACCCCTCCTTCCTTGAAAATCTCTCTTCTCCAGTCTTTTATGATCCTAAGTCTGGCTCTTCCCTGACCTCACTGACTACTTCAATTTTGGCTCATCTTCCCTCACCTACATGTAGACCACCTTCCCAAGAGGCCTATCTTTGGCCGTCTTCTCTTTATATCCTCCCTTGGAGTTCACATCCACTCCTACACCAGCCACCATTACCTCTGTGCTAATGAATCCCAAGCCTGTCTTTCAGACTGTAGCCTGAGTTCCCACTTCACATCTCCGCCTCACCACTGGGGAGCACATGTACATTCATGTACCACTAGCAAAGCTGAACCCACGTTCCTCCAGTCCTGCTTGACTTGTCTGACTTCCTTAATGGTGTCACTTCTTAGGTTTGACTCTTCATAATTATCTTTAACTCCTCCCTTTCTTCTTCCTCTCATCTTCTCATCAGGTTCTAAATCCTAGAAATGTTCACTACCTGATGTCTCTCAATTCGACCCTCCATTCCAATCCTACCCCTCCCAGCCCAGGGCAGCTCGTAGTACCTCTTACTAGACCGTTATAATAACCTCCCAGCTGGCCTTCCAAACTCCAATTTCTCTTCCTCCAGTCAAGCTTTTACGCTGAGTACAGATTAATTATCTGATTAATTATCCTCAAACACAGCTCTGAAATTGTTTAAAGAGTGGAATAATGGATAAACATTCCCCATTACCTAGCAGAGTTAAATCTGGGATTTCAGACCCAGGGAATTTAGCTTTATCAGTAACTGCTCCCTTTCATTTACATAAAACTAAAACCTTACAATGTTCCCTGTATTTTGTAACTGTACTATTTCCGAGGCTTTGTTAATAATGTTTCATTCATCTAAATTCCCCTTACCCTCCACACCACATTGCACATATTAACATCTGGCTAGTCATCAAAGCTCACATCCCATTTCCTTTAGAAAGCCTTCTTTGTCTCACTCAGCAAATCCCACCCGAGCCCTCATTTCTCAGTGCATTTTAGCAAGTATTCTATGGCACTTGCTGCATTATAATGTCTCAGCTCTTTCAATTCTTGTGGTCCAACATCAAGTTCAATTCATATTTTCATTACCAAAAACATTCAATATAATAACTTGCACATAGCCAGTGTTCAAGAAACATGCTAAAACGTTCAATAAGAGAATAATTCTTTTCCTGATTATTTGTTGGATGACCATCATATTACTATACTAACTTTCCTAGTTAAAAATATGAACAAACAAAATTAATACCAAAACAAAAAGCAACATGTGAGTTGGTAAAATATTTGTCATATTTGTAAGAATAGCTCTCAAGCTGCCAGATCTGGCTGGTAGGAAACAGGATATTTTAGGACTCACAGGTCTCTGGCAAATTTTTGAGAGGGTTTCTTCATGGCATCAAATCTCATCTTGTGAAGTTGAGCCCTCCTTTTGAATTCCTATTTATGATTTCTGAATTGTGTTTAAATAACCAGGATTGTGGATGGTATCTACACTTTAAGCTAGCTGAACAAGCTGGAATTATAACTAGGATTAAAATAGTTTAATACTGAAAGAACAAGCTATACTGTGACCCATAGCATAAGTCTATGAAATTTATCAAAGCAGACATACTGCAGTTCAGAATTTCTCCCCAACCTTGGCTACCACGGAGCTTAGTGTCAACCTATGTTTTCTTGACCCCAAAACAGTTTCAAATGTTTGAATAAAATAATTTGATTAGACAGAAGCCATCTAACTCAGTTACTTCCCTGTAGCATGATGAGGTTCAGTTTGCGATCCTTCTGAACAGAATGAAACAACAGAATGAAAACAAGGCAAAGGCTTTCATCTGCTTTGAAAGACACCACCGTGAATTACCCTTCCATACAGAGTCCCCGTCCACCTCCATTTATTAAAACATTTCTGCCAGCATTACCATTCTCCATTCCTGAGGCTGACAGAGGAGAGGGGGCTGGAAGAGAGAATTGTATTTGAGAAAGATGGATGAGGATAAGAAGGCAGAAAAGAACAACAGTGAGTGGGCTTTGTGAGTAAGCAAGCTGGTTAGACTAGACAGGAAGGAAAAGCAAGGGTAGTCTAAGTGCAAAAACTCACAGCAAAAGGAAGGAGAAAAGAGTCTGGGCAGAGTTTAGAAATCAAGAACAGGGTAGGGGGAAATGAAAGGATGCCATGGCTTCTTCAACCAGGCTGCCTTGGCCAGGCCGAGACAGGGGCACCATGACTCTCAAGGATCAGCAAGCTCAGGGTAGGTGCCAATACCTTTCTTTAGTGAGCTGTTGTTATGACTGGGCCCAAAGTGACCCGGAGGGGAAAGCAAAGGTGCTTAAACGCAGTCACTGCTTCAAAGAACTTGAACCCCAGTGCAGGTGCTGGTTTATCTCCCTAAAACAGAATTAATACCCCTAGAATGAAAGTTTCTATTATGGCGGAGCTTTACAGCAGCTTCCCACAGGTGAAAGCTTTCTAACTTGAATCACAGTGAAAAGTCAAATGAATAGTATTTCAGGTAAGGTCAAGAGAAAGCAAGGCTGGAGCACAGAGCCCTGGTCTGCCTCTAGCACCTGGCTCAGCACTGAGGGAGGAAACCAGGTAAGGCTCGAGAGGAAAGGGAAGGTCAGGTCTTGGAAGGTAGCAAGGGTCACTCCCAAGTACCTGAATATTCCATTCACATGCGCCGGGGTTGGAGTAAGACACAAATACTGATTATTTTAATCTTAGGAAAGTTAATCTCAACTTGTAGACCGAAGCAGTAACAAGGGACTGACCCTGGGAACAACATAAAGATGCTAATGGCAGTTCTGCGATAAGAAGCCCGTGGAACTGTAAACGTGGAGAGAGTATGTGCTCAGGCCTCTGCACCCCCAAACTGCAATGTCAACTTGGTTTACGGTGTTCAGTCTATCCGAAAGCGGCCTAAATCTTTTTTTTTTTTTTTTTTTTAATTTATGCTGCAAAGCCACATCCCCTCCATCCTACACTTCTTTGACTGTGTGTGTGCTCTCTACCATCCCAGGGCAGGGCTGGGACTTATTTCCTTAAAGATCCAAGTGAAGAATTTTACTAACTGAATTTCATTCTGTTAACTTGGGCACAGAGTTTGTGTTTCCCAATCTCTCTGGATCCAAAGCTTTACCTAAACTTTTGGAACTTGAAGGAAGCCCTGTGGTATTCCAATAGAGACCTTCTCCTAAGAGGGTGCTGTTAGTTTGTGTAGATATTCTCTCATATAATTAGTAAACACCAACATCTGGTATTGCAGTTATAGCAGAAGACTCAAAATAGGTTTTCTGGCCTCAAGAATATAATGATCAGCAGCTACCTTTTTGAGGAGGCCATTTGACTAGTTATAAATAAACCTAACTAGAGGGTCAGCCACACTCACTTTCCATGTTCTCCAAAAGGTATCATGATTTTGTCAGAAGTCAAACTAAAAAACAGGTATGAATATAATTATCTGTTGACAACCAAAAAAAAAAAAATTAGTTTGGGTTAACTTTTAGCTACACATTCATCAGCCTATTTTCCATTCCCAGGGCTTGAGTCACCACAACGTTGCCTGACACAGCTAACAAGACAACCAGCTTATCATTTACACCTGCACCTTCTTCCTCACTGGGCAAACCAGCTCCCTGCGGGGCTGTCTCTGGCCCTTCACCATCTTACCCATTCATTGTAGATCTCAGAAATCATCAGTAGGGATTCAATCTCAGTGGCTACCTTTCTCCCTGCAGATGTAGACTCTTGCACTCACTCGTGCACCCCATTCTTATCTACTCGCCTACCTGGGGCTCATCTTCCCTCTGGACAATGCTTATTCTACCCCCTCAACCAAAAGCTCTTTCTCCTTGACTGAGCAGATCTCTGCTTTGCATATCAAATGTTAAACCCACACCATCACATCTCTCTGTCACGCTTAACCTCTCCTACTCTTGCTCTGCTTATCATTTTAAAAGCCGTGTTGTTGTCCTTCACCCACATCACAAGCTTAAGCACATTGTGGAACTGGCTCTTCAGGGGGTTCTTCCACACTTAGGATTCACATCCTCATGGAAGCTTATTCCTGTACTCTTATGTCCTCTTCTGACCACACTGACCTACTGTTCTGACCACAGTGTGAGCCTCCCACACATCAGATGTGGTTCCAGATGCATCCACACACTTCCATCTGAGATAATAAGTAAGTATACTTGCAGAGTTGAGAGATGTTAGAA